TTATGGGGCAGATGTGAATTTAAATTTCTACCAGTATGTTAATTGTCTAAGTGCACATTGCTGTCAGGAAGATTAAAATGATAGTATAGTGATATAAACTAGTTTTGGCACTACAGGCTAGGGTGATATGCTTCCTTAACTTGTGAGGTCTCACAGAGTGTGTGCAGTTGCCTGAGCCTTCCTAAGGAAAAGCACAGGAGCAAGTTTTTTTCATCCAGTGATCTTGCAAAAGTATTAGCAAGCAAAAATTTTCACAGTTTTGGTTTAGTCATCAGATCAAGTAATTTCACATTTGTGGATTGTTATCTGTCTGTGAAGATAATGATAGCTGAAAATTGTATAACATGGACAAGATGTTTTTTAAAATGTCATCCCTTGAGAAACAAGCTATGAATATGTCCTCCATTCAGATTTCTTGATTAGCCACTGAACAAATTCAGGCTTGAATGATTCTTCATTAATGGCAATGGTAAAAATCCCATTGATGTGGGAGATTGTTCCAAAGGAATTTTTGATGACCTTTGGAGGTCTCTTCAACCTAAATTATTCTATGATTCTGTGATACGGCAGAGTGCAGGCTGACATTGGAATAAGGCTGTATCTGAATTAGATAATAGTTGTTGTTACAGATATCCAGATATATTTATATAATAATACATAACTTATATAATCACAAGCTCTGGAAATTGGGTGAAGATTCATTAGAAGTTCAGTTAGTGTCACTAAATGGGTATGAGACAAAAACTAAAATTAGAGTACAAACCTTAATATAATCAGCTCAGCTTCTTCTATATTCTACGGAGAACCTCCTCCTCTCTTCACATTCAGTACATCTATTTTCAGCGTTTGGCAATTTACAGGTTCTATTGTCCCATTAATGTAGTATCTTGTGTTTTTCCACTAAGTGTAGAAGTTTTCTGCAAGTCTAGCTAAGACTAAATGCTAATATCTCAGACAACTGAAGTTATAAATCATGAATCCTGGTTTGGAATGTTACTTACATTACAGTATTCAGTTATTTTGTTAACATTCAGTATTTTATCACTGAAGAAATTCTGGCAAGTAAAAGCTCTTGTCTGATTGTGGGAATCAAATGTTGTTTCTGCATTAGAATTGGATAATATTTTTTTATTTCATGAACTCCGTTGTC